TTATCGATATAGACCTCATGTTTCCCTGTCCTAACAGTGGTGTAAAATTATCAATATAGACCTCATGTTTCCTTGTCCTAACAGTGGTGTACAATTATCGATATAGACCTCATGTTTCCCTGTCCTAACAGTGGTGTAAAATTATCAAAGAAATTAATTTCTTAAAAAAGGTAGTAGCAAAACACATAGGCTGAGACAGAAAACGTATTGTTTAAAATTATTTTGGTAAAACAGATTGCACACGACTGGCTGTGTCGTCTCTTCACGTCAAAGTAAAGTCTTCTGGTGAAGGAAATCTAATTATAAGACTGGCGTTTAGATCAAAGACATTCTTCACCGTAGACCGTCATGATTTTAAACATTAATTACATCTTTATAAGCACATAGAGGCATATGAATCAGAATTCATAATCAATTATTCTGACTAAAATATATGTTCTCAAGGGAGTGACAAATAGATATCATATAAACAGGTTACACTAGCACGGTCAGTACCTCTAGTCATTCGCTATTGTTGTTCATCTGTATTTCAAGAAGATGTTTTATCGTGGTATGGTTAATTCAAGTGTCGACATTGCAATATATACTATAAAACACCTTTTATACGGGTGTAAAGGGGTCCAGGGGCTGATCTGGGGAGACATTAATACAGAATCGTGAAGTGACCTTAATTATGATGAATTACGAGTTGTTGGTTAATGATTGTTCTTCTACTCTTTGTGCTACTATAGAATAAACAGTACACTCAGTTTTCGTTCAGTGTATCACATCATATCTGTCAAACCTTAGACATTAGGTTAATTGGGATGTCCAACGACACAAGTATCAATGTACTCCATATGATCATACCAGTTCCTACTTTTAAAAATCAAAACGATTCACATTTAAAAAAAAAATAAAAATCTATACCTGAACCTATATGGAATTTAATAAAGTTTGAACTGGTTAAGGAGAGCGAGTAAGGTGTGTTTTTATCGTTCTAAGTAATCATCTTTCCCTTGTTATCCTACTGTCTATTATATCTATACGTAATATAATAAGTTTATCCATATACAAATAATAATAATATTTATTCAGGTAAAAGGCAAATAATACACGTATATCACATTTTGCAGATTGGACATAAATATATCTATTATCACAGATGTTATTTATAAGTTATTTATGCCATAAAACTAGTAATCAGTCAGGTGTTAAAACTGGATTGGATTAGATTAATTTAGGCCTTTACCCGGGATGACCCATAAAGCCACAGTGGGGGTCCCTTAGATCTAAACAAATCGATTCATAAAATAGTTACATAATTATATAGTATATATTCAATTATATTGATAATTTGATAAGACTCTAAGACACTTCTTTTATATTTTTTTTTTTAGATATAAAATGTTACATGTGCCATAGGCTATAATCAATAAAATAATGCTGGTAATGGAATGATATAGAGATTAACAATATATTGGAATTTTAACAATCAAAGATATATATATATATATATATAGTATTAACTTAAAATGTTCCCTGCCAAAGGGCTGGTGATTGGACCAATCCCTACCGACCAAACTCTCGGACATTAACGTACATTAATATAATTGATTGACAAGTACTGGTAGATAACTTAATACTAATACAAATCTCACACAACATACAAAATGGAATGTAAATCGGTTATCTCAGGAAAACACTGTTATAAGCCTTTCTAGTCTGTTGTCTCGTCCTTTTTATAATGCATGCGGGCAATAGGCCTATGTGGTTTTTTCCCGATAAGTATTGAGAAATTGCATGCTTCTTCTTCCATTTACTACGGCAGATCTCATAGATATGAGTGCAGTTGCCGCATTTTTAGGTGTCCTTGGAGGTGGCATTAATGTTTTTGGTTATTTTATGATAAGATAAAACTATATACATGCATGATAAGAGTTAATGTAGAGTTTTTTTAGGATGATATGCAGACAGAGCTGATTTGAAATGGTTCAAGTCAGGTGACTGGGCGGCTATATCTTCGGGCAGAGAAATCCATGTACTAATAGTTCGGGGAAAAAATGAATTTCGATATTTGTCCGCCGGAATTAGTAGAAATTTGTTGGAGTTTGTGGGCTCCCCTAGTTCTGCGGTCTGACACTTTACATAATCATTAGGGGAGATGGCTTCATTGTAACCCCTGCTTTTGCTCGTCTCTGTGCAAGTGGTTCCCAGTTTAGTGATTGTACCATGCTGGTGACACTTCCAGGTTCACGGGTCCTGTAGTTGTTTATATAGACATATCGAGCAGCCCTACGTTGGACGGTTTCCAACAGTACAATGTTTTCTGTGGTGTATGGGTCCCAACATGTAGAGGCCTACTCGATAGTCGGTCTCACTAGAGTGGCATACAGAGTAATGTACAGTAACTACGTCACCGGAAAATTACTTGATTTTCCTTCGCTTCCTCGCTCACTTATTCAAAAATAGAATTAAATATAGTTCAAGTTAACTATTTTTGAAATACAAAAATATAGCCTTATTACATAAGAAAGAATAGAAAGAACTTAGATAAAATTGTCATGCTGTTAATCTTATTATGGATTACAACAATTACAGTTGCTTCGGAGCTCGGTAATGTCCTGTCTGTTTTCGTAGAAAGAAGCATTCGTGGCGATACATGTCCCTTAGATGTCTTTTCCAAGGTCTTTCCCGTCACGGGTTTACCTGTGAAGTACATTAGTAGCTTACTTATGCCTGACCGTTATCAATGACAAGAAAAGGTAACTCACTTCCTATCGTTTACAAACGATGGGTAAATTGACCAATCAGCGTTAAGCTCTCCAGCATGGTTCAGTTGACTCCACAACATTGGGTGCAGCAGTATCAGGCTGTTGCTGGTGCTAATTCAATTATCCCTCCTTTAAATGAATTTATTAAGTTTTAAGCCAAGTGACCAACAAAAATGAAAGGTATGTACACAGTTTTCTCACAAATATTCCGAATATACTTATGATGTGTGTTTTTATTCTTAGTTTGAGCAGGTAAGTAACCTAACGGTTTCAGGTCAAAATGATGGGTGGCGGTTAATTCGAAGTCGGGATGATCAAACTTTTGTTTCTTTTACTGTTATCTTCCATGTAAGAATTTTCCAGTGAAAGTGTCTTTGTTGAAGAGTGGTTATTTCTTTTACGTCAATAGGACTTTGTAATTGTGTGTTGGTAGTCCTAGGCCTAATTGATTCTGTCAGTTTGAAATCGTATTTTGAAGACAACCAGGATTTATACACTCGAGTGCAACCTTCACAACAAAGCTGTTTTCTTGAATATGCAGCTAGGCCCTATTCTGTCGTTTCGTTTCTGGAAAATTTTGTGTTTTCATTTTTAATCATCTTGGATGATTTCAAATTAGTAGGATATGATTCTATCTAATCATTTTTCAAATACTGACGCCGGAGGAAACCAGTGACTGCGAGGAATCCCCAACACTATTATCCTACTCACGGCAAACATAGACCCGTTATCGTGATATATACTGAATACTGATTTTACATTCTTCGATACAATAACAATATTATAAATCATATATGTTCAGACTTGTAATTCAGGAGTTAAATCGTCGTTTTCCACCGACAGGTCACGAAACATGTTTTCGACATGGATTTTGATTGGTTCATTGGTTCGACATGTACACGCTTGTTTACATTTTTAACCAATCATTATCGGGAATGCCCTTGCTGTTACTAAAAATAGGATAAGCATATGTTGTATCGAAGCGGAGTAAGATACGCGATGTCGAAAGCTAGGCATATCTGACGTTTTTCATTCTGTCAGAGAATTATTCATGGAAGCACCAAGAAATTTAGGAAGTCATGAGTTTCGTTTCTTTCTGTAAGTATAATTTTGTTCAAAACGTCGATCAATCTACTAAATGTGATGTTGAAGCAGTTTTGACAGTAACCAACATGTTCAGACATCTGATAAATTCAGGAGATGACAGCGTTACCTGTGAAGTTCTGACTTGACTTAATTATAAGCATACAGTACAATGTTTATGTTAGTTTGTTAATTGATACTTTATATTGTAGTAATTGGGGTGGGTAATACTGCACATTACCAATATATTATATTTCTCTATCAATATATTAGAATAGTAAGTTCTTATCTATAATATGTCAACCTTTCCTCTTCCCATCTAAACCCTCTTCTGACATCAATCTTCAAATTGTTGGAAGTTGGTCAGTACCCTGTAGAAGTAGAAGTATCAGTAACTGAGCTACTAAACAAATATCCATAAGGCATACAATTAAGAATTTCTGGATAATTGATTAAAAACCCAAAAAGAGCATAACTGTTGTGAATGCTTATAAAGAAATACCAGTGTTCTCATAAAGATTTGAAATAGGTGGTTTATTCACATTTGATGTTGTTATACTTCATCTTTATTGTGTGTCTGATTGGATGATATTGATGATATGACAGGACGATAAAAGATCATGTCATCCTCACTCGCTCCATTCTCCTCCCATCATATTTGCCTCTCTAAAACAAATTGACAAGACTGAAGCAGACGACAGCAATGAGGCGTCTACGCAATCATCTTTCTTTACTAATTGGATTATTGGTGTTTTTTTCGGCATAATGCCGTTAGTGTAGGGAAGTGTGATTCTTTGCCGCATGGAACATGCTTAATCTGCGAGAAACAAAAAAATGTGTTTCCCTACAACAAGTAAATGTATAATATTGACCTTTATATATCAATATCTATTCTGAAAAATAAATAGCTGGTTCAAAGTTGATGAATAGCAGGCAGCTTTTGCCGGCAACTTGTTTTCAATGAGAACATTTAAGAAACATTGTTCATATAAAGTGTGATTATCCCTGGACATTTTACTGTGATTATCCCTGGACATTTTACTGTGATTATCCTTGGACATTTTACTGTCATTATCACTGGACATTTTACTGTCATTATCCTTGGACATTTTACTGTCATTATCCTGGACATTTTACTATCCCTGGACATTTTACTGTCATTATCCCTGGAAATTTTACTATCATTATCCCTGGACATTTTACTGTCATTATCCCTGGACATTTTACTGTCATTATCCCTGGACATTTTACTATCATTATCCCTGGACATTTTACTATCCCTGGACATTTTACTGTCATTATTCCTGGACATTTTACTGTCATTATCCCAGGACATTTTACTATCATTATCCCTGGACATTTTACTGTGATTATCCCTGGACATTTTACTGTCATTATCCCTGGACATTTTACTGTGATTATCCCTGGACATTTTACT